CACATGTGCATTGGTCTCTTTCAGGGCTCTCTCTTCTGTCCCATTGATCCATTTGATTAGCTCTGCATCAATTACAAGAATTTTATAATAAACCTTGATAAATGATAAAGCAAATCCTTTCACACTGTTCTTCTTTTAAGTCAGTCTAAGTCATCTTGTCCATTGCACTTCCATATAAACCTTAGAATCTGCTTGTCAACTCCATCCATTCAAAAAAAAAGAAAAACTTTCAGTACTTTGGTTGGGATTACATTGAATCTATAAATCAATTTGGAGATCTGACTTTTTATGACACTAACTCTTCCAATCTATGGATAGATCTCTACATTTATTAAGCTCTTCTTTACTATCCCTCAATAAAAGATTACAATTTACTCCATAGAGGTCCCGCACACTTTTGTTAGATTTCTTCATAGGTACTTCTTTTTGGCTATTATAAATGTGTATTTTCTTCTTTTATTTTATAATAGTTATTGCTAATACAGGGCAATATCATTAACTTTGCATATTAATTCTGTATCCAGCCACATTGTTAAAATACCTATTAATTACAGTAAGTTGGTGCTAGATTCTTCTGGATCTTCCGTGTACACAAATACATGATCTACAAACAATGACAATTTCATTTCTTCCTCTCCAATGTTTCCATTGTTGTTTTTTTTTTTCCTTTTCCTGGCCATAGGGCACCAGATAGAACCTCTAGTACAATGTTAAATACAAAGTGGTGCTAGCTGACATCCTTATATTGTTACTGATCTCGAAGATAATCGTTTCCATGTTTTGTTATCAAATATGATCTTTTCTGTCGATGGCTTAGAGTTGCCCTTTGCCAAATTCAGGAAATTTCCTTTTATTCCTGGTTTCCTAAGAGTTTTTAGCATGAATGGATGCTGAATGTTATCAAATACTTTTTTATTTCTACATAGAACGGTGCTATAAACAGGTACAAGTCCAAGGACCGTCTGTCATCAGTCTTTGATGTGATAGGCTCAGAAAATGAGAGTAGCATTTAAGCAAGCATCAGAAATGGTGTTTTGGGGTGCTGCTGAATGTATGTGTCAAGTCACATAAAGCACAACCCTTATAAAAGTAGCAGTCAGGGGGCGCCTGGGTGGCTCAGTCGTTAAGCATCTGCCTTCGGCTCAGGTCATGATCCCAGGGTCCTGGGATCGAGCCCCGCATCGGGCTCCCTGCTCGGCGGGAAGCCTGCTTCTCCCTCTCCCACTCCCCCTGCTTGCATTTCCTCTCTCGCTGTGTCTCTCTCTGTCAAATAAATAAATAAAATCTTAAAAAAAAATAAAAATTAAAAATAAAAGTAGCAGTCAGTAGTAGATTGGAAATTTTAAAAGTTGGTCCATTAACACATACAGTTTGTGAAAAACTACGTCAAGTTTACCTTTTTTTTTTTTTTTTGCCAGAAAATGTCTATTCTCTCTCATTCATGGATGATATTTTTATTGGGTATAAATTTAAAGATTTTATTTATTTATTTGAGAGCGAGAGAGAGCAAGAGAAAGGACAAGCAGGGGGAGGGGCAGAGGGAGAGGGAGAAGCAGGCCCCCCGCTGAGCAGGGAGCCCGACATGGAGCTCCATCCCAGGACCCTGAGATCATGACCTGAGCTGAAGGTAGATGCTCTACTGACTGAGCCACGCAGGTGCCCCTGGGTATAAGATTCTAAGTTGACAGTTTTGCCTCTTAGAACAGTGAAGTTATAATCTATCTTCTGATTTCCAGTATTTCTTTTAAAAAATCAGCTGTCAGTTTAATTATGGCTCCTTTGGAAGTAATATCTTATTTTCTGGCTACTTTTATATTCTGAAATTTCTCTACCTTCTATATAAGTGGATTTTTTTTTTATTCATCCTGTTTTGGACTCTAAGGCATCTTTGAATCTATGGATTTGTTCTTTCATTGGTTCTGGAAAATTCTCATATATTATCTTATTACACATTATCTCTGTCCCATTCTCTTCCTGTTCTTCTGAAACTTTTTAAAAATTTTTTATTAAAAAACGAAAGATTTGGGGTGCCTGGGTGGCTCAGTCATTAAGCATCTGCCTTTGGCTCAGGTCATGATCCCAGGGTCCTGGGACCTAGCCCCACATCAGGTTCCCTGCTCGGCGGGAAGCCTGCTTCTCCCTTTCCCTTTGCTCCTGTGTTCCCTCTCTCGCTGTCTCTCTCTCTGTCAAATAAATAAATAAAATCTTAAAAAAAAAAAAAGAAAGATTTGATTTTTTTAAGCAATCTCTACACACCCAATATGGCACTCAAACCCACAACCCGAGATCGAGTCACACACTCCACCGACTGAGCCAGTCAGGTGCCCCATCTTATTAGACATATATTTAACTCCACTGTATCTGCAATGTCTCTCTCTTTTTTTAAAGATTTTATTTATTTATTTATTTGTCAGAGAGAGAGAGGGGCAGGCAGAGGGAGATGCAGGCTCACTGCTGAGCAGGGAGCCTGATGTGGGGCTCGATCCCAGGACCCCGAGATCATGACTGAGCTGAAGGCAGACGCTTAACCGACTGAGCCACCCCATCATCCCTCTGCAATGTCTCTTAACCACCTTCCCATATTTCTGTCTTTTTGTCTCTCTGTGGTGGATTCTAGATGATTTATTCTGAATAAATTCTTTCTTCAGCTTTGATTTGGCTTATTATCTGTCTCTCCAGTAGAATGTAAACTACATTACAGCAGGGTCCTTGTCTGTTTGGCTCACTGCCGCGTCCTCAACACCCAGAACAGGGCCCGGCACTTAGGGGGCACTCCAGTAAATATTTGTTTGATGAATGAATGCCACCAGATAACTACATCTTATCTTGACCTTACAGGGAACTTCACAGAGCTATACTCTAGAGAGCCTATCCCCCATCGGATCTACAGTTCTCCATAATCAAGGTTGTTAGGGCAAAGCAAATCACGGAGTCAAGATAATAAAATCATCCTGTTTGGGCCTGACTCTGATGAGTTTCCGTGAGAGACTGAGGAAAACTAATTCAAGCAGTCAACACCCAGGAAGCCACTGCATTATCATGAAATAGCCAAAAGGGTGGTGTGTGTGAATCAGAATTCAGCTTCCAAAAGGCAGTTCGGGGGCTACTGAGAGCTGAACACACAAACTGATTGAAAGTCAAATGTAAGGAAACTATGTGATAGGGGAGCCTGGGTGGCGCAGCTGGTTAAGCGACCGACTCTTGGTTTCAGTTCAGGTCCTGATCTCGGGGTCTTGAGATCGAGCCCCGCGTCAGGCTCCCCGCTCAGTGCGGAGTCTGCTTAAGTTTCTCTCTCCCCCTCCCTCTACCAGCCTCCCCCGACACTCTTTCTCTCTCTCTAAAAAATAAATAAATCTTGGGCACCTGGGTGGCTCAGTTGGTTAAGCGACTGCCTTCAGCTCGGGTCATGATCCCGGAGTCCTGGGATCGAGTCCCACGTTGGGCTCCTGGCTCAGCGGGGAGCCTGCTTCTCCCTCTGACCCTATCCCCTCTCATGCTGTTTCTCTCTCTCTCTCTCTCTCTCAAATAAATAAATAAATAAAATCTTTTAAAAATAAATAAATAAATAAATAAATAAATCTTAAAAAAAAAAACAACTATGTGGTAGATAGAATAATGCCCACCCCCCTAACCCCCGCTAATATGTCCACATCCTAATCCCTGAAACTTGTGAATATATGACCTGAATAGCAAAAAAGGACCTTGCAAATGTGATGAAGTTAAGGATTTTGAGATGGGGAGATTCTCCTGAATTACCTGGGTGGGCCCAGTGCAATCACCAAGGTCCGTACGAGTGAAAGAAGGGGGCAGGAGGGTCCGAATCAGAGAAGGAAGAGGTGGGAGCGATACACATGAGACTCAGCTGCCCACTGCTGGCCTTGCAGACAAGGAAAGAAGCCATGAACCAAGCAATGCAGGCAACTTCTAGAAGCTGAAGAAGTCAGAAAACAGATTTTCCTCCAAAGCCTTCGGAAGGAATGCAGCCCTGCTAACACCCTGACTTTAGCCCAGTGAAACCAATTTTGGGCTTCCATCCTCTGCCACTGTAAGATAATTCATTTGTATTATTTTTCTTAAGATTTATTTATTTGAGAGAAAGCATGCGCACATGAGCGAGTGGGGGGAGAGGCAGAGGGAGAGAGAGAGAGAAAAGATCTCAAGCAGACTCCGTGCTGAGCACAGAGCCTGACCCATGGCTCGAGCTCCTCGATCTTACAACCCTGAGATCACGACCTGAGCCGAAATCAAGAATCGGATGCTTAACTGACTGAGCCACCCAGGCGCCCCTAGTTTGTATTATATTTTAAGCCACCAAGTTTGTGGTAATTTGTTACAGCAAAAATAGGAAAGTGATACAGATCACCGATATAAGTAACCTTCAAAGTCCTGTTTGTGATCCAACAGTGTGCAAGAAATCCTTTGGTCTAGGCAAGCAACTTTTTAAAATGAAGACTAGAATAGAAAATCGCAGAATGAATCCCACCTAGAAAAAATCAGTATTACCTGGTGAAACTTTTCTTTGAGATGTATGTGTGTGTTTATATCCACATGTGTATGAACTGCCTCGGGAGGTCATGGTCACAAAAACCTGAAAGAACACTGACCTACAAAAGTCACATTGTTGCCAAGGTCAAGGCATTGGAAACCTATGTGGACTCCGCTGCATTACCAACATCCTCTTTTTGCCGATGAAGAAACTAGGGCCCAGAGAGGTAAAGACTTGCCCTCGGTCACACAGCTCTGATCGGCGGGGCCAGGATTCTAATGCAGGCTTTGCTGACTCCAGGAGGTGAACCTTTCCCCTTTAACCACACCAGCCCCCTTTTGGGACGTGTGGGACAGTGCTAAGCAAGAAACACCCATATTCCCTCTAGAGCCTGAACATAACTCTCCGAGGATGCTTTCCATAAGCCCATTTTTCAGATGAGGAAGCTAAGGCTCAAAGCAGTTCCAATACCTGCCCCTAAGTGGGATCCACGGAGTCTGGTCTCAGAACCCACCTGCTTGTCCAGGGCTCTGGTCTGCTCCTGGAGCTCCTTGACCTCGGCCTGGACCTGGAGCCGGCACTTGAGCAGCTGGCCCATGTTCTCCAGCCTCTCACTGTCCCGCAGCCGCTTGACCTGGCTCTGGGCGATGCTGATCTGCACCTTAAGTTTATCTCGCAACCCCTCCAGGCGCTGGATCTCCTCACTGCCCAGGCAGGGAGGGGGAAAGCAAGCCAGCAAGCGGCAGAGCTCAGAATCACTAAAGGCCAGACTCGGGGCCGGCCCTCCCCCCTTGGAGCCAGGAGCCGGACCCCCAGCCCCCCGAAGAGCCCCCTCCCCAGCTCCGGGACCAAGTAGTGGGCTCACAGTTGCTTGTTGATGCGCTGGTGGACTTCCTTGCTGTAGGCCCGCCTCTCCCCCTCCATCACTTTGCATTGCCGCTGTAGTCTGCTCAGCTCCCAATCCACTGAAGGCAGGACCAGCCAAGGGGCTCAGGAGGAACCCAGTAGGCCCCAGCCCCTTCCTCTCCAGGACCTAGGAATTCTGGCTCCCTCAGGGTCCCGCAAACTGCAGCTGAAGTGCAGACGCAGTCCCCACCAGCCCTCCAGCTCTGTATCTTGGCTCCTATACCCCTTCCAACTCCTGTACCCCAAGCTGACCTCAGGATTTTTCCCATCACTCCTGCCCCAGGTTTGGGCACACACTTTCCCACTAGAGGGCGCTCCTGGCAGGCCTCCTGCTCCTCAGGGACCTGCCACATACGATCTGGAACTTGGGAAAGGTGAGGATAGGTGCCAAGAACTGGGAACAGCATTCCAACTCCCTCCCCTACTTCAGCCCCCATCACCCAGCAGTCCTCGGTCCCATCCTCCTTCCTCACTCTCAGCTCATCCTCTAGTCTCAGGCTTCCTTCTGTCCTGCCTGGACCATCACCCCAGCCTCCTCCCCAGCCTCTCCGCCCTTCCTTACAGCCTCAGCGGGTCTTTCTACCCCCAGAGCTGACCCTGCCTCTCCCCTGCTCACAGGCCTCCCTTGGAGCTCCAGGGCCCCCAGGACAATGTCCCAGCTCCTCAGCCTGGTGTTCAAGGCCCCCAACGATCTGACCCTACCCACCTCTTGAGTCTGGTCCACTAGCTCCCCGCCCCCCACGGCCCAGTGGCTCTCAACCAGAGATTCTGCCCCGCACAAAGAGTTGGCAATGTCTGGAGGCATTTTTGATTGTCACGATGTGGGGATGGGGCAGGGGAAGGTGCTCATGGCATGTAATGGCCAGAGGTCAGGGATGCTGCTAAGCATCCTACAATGCCCAGGGCAGCCCCCATGACTAAGCATGATCTGCCCCCAAGTGCCAACAATGTGGAGGCTGAGAAACCCAATTCTAGCCACATGCTGTTCTCTCTGCTGAAACACTCGTCCCTGCCTGCTCCCACTGGGAACTCCTGGGAGGAGTTAGTTCCAAGCCCCACTCGAACTACTCCTCCTGCAGGAAGTCTTCCGGGACTGCCCCACTCCCCCGACTTGGCCTATCCCTCCGCCCTGCTCCACCTCCATTCCCACGCATGTGCGTTCCTCGCTAGAGGGCCCTCCTGGAAGGTCTCCCTGTCCTCAGTATGCTGTAGCACAGTACCTGGAACTTGGGGAACTGAGGAAAGGAATGAGTGAAAAAAGCAAGACTGTATGAATTACCCATTCCTTCCAGGAAGGCCTCGCTTCCATCCTCCGAGCGGGTGCTCCCTGCAGAGTGTCCCAACGGCATCTTGGCCAAAGCGGGAGGGGCTCCTGTAGGGGTGACACAGGACCGCTTTAGACAGCAAGCAGGAGAGGGCCGGAAGGAAGGTGGGGATGAACCGCGAGGGACTAGGGATTGGAAGGTGACCCCGGAATCAGCTCTGGCCTCTCTTTGAGTCTCAAGGCCTCCAATGGGTTGGAGGGGGACCCTCTCAGGCCTCTCTCCACACCCCTCCTGACCTCCGACCTCTCCTGTTTTCTGTCTCGTGTTTCCACTCGGACTCACGCGCGCGGGGACAGGCCCCCTAGGCTCTCAGCATTTCTGAGGCGTGGCTGTTTGTGGAGGGAGACACGGAGGAGGGGGAAACCCCGGCCGGCTGTGGGGAGCGAGGCCCGGTCCCTACCTGCTGGAGTGCCTGACCTGTCCCAGGTCCTCCAAGCTCACTGTTGTGGCCTGGTTACTGGGGAGATAAAGGGCCAATGAGGCCTGAGGACAGCGGCCGGGGTGGGACCGAGGCCTCCAGCAGGCGCCGTGGGAGGGGAGGCTGGGGAGGAGGGGCCGGGGCAGCCCGAAGAGCAGAGGAAACCTCGGCGGCTGGGTACCGAAGGATTGGGGGGCCCGGAGCCCTGCGAGGGGCGGGGCTGGGAGAGCTTGCGGGGGCGGAGCTGTGAGCCTTGCGAGGGGCGGGGTGGGAGGGGCCTGTGAGAGGAGGGACCGGGTGTGCCTTGGGGGGCGGGGCTGGCAGGGCCACGAGGGGCGGGGCTTCAGCGCTCGAGAGGGCCGTGAGACCTGTAAGGAGCACGGTACCTGTGGAAGGAGGGGCTGCGGGGACTGGAGAGGGACCCGGCCCCAGTATCCGTAAAGGGCGGGGCTGCGGGCCTTGCGAGCGGCGGGGCAATGGGGGGGCTGTCGAGGGGCGGGGCACGGGTACCTGCAAACGCCCGGAGCATCACGGACCTGCGAGGGGCGTGGTTAGAAGGCCACCGGGCGGGCCTGGTGGGAGGGCGCTGGAAGGAGGGCTGGAAGGCGCTAACGGGCAGCGAGGGGCTGAGGGGCGGGCTGTATGTTTTCGGGAGGGGGAGGCAGGAGCTGAAAGACCCAATGGAACCAGGGCTGGGAGAGAAACGTCTGGAAGGCTTTGGAGCTAGGCCGAGGTCCTTCGGGACGAGGCCCGAGAGATGTGTGTCTTAAGTTAAGACCACGTTATTTTGAAGATTCATTAGGAAGACCGTGCCGATGCCGCGAGTTGTGAGAGGGAGGAGAGCTCACCGCCAACTCCGGTCCCCGCAGTGACTCACTACGCATGCGCGGCCAACGGCCTCCTGCGAAGCCTCTTGCCTGCTGGGTCCGCGCACTGAGAGGCGGGAGTGGGCGGGGCCGCGAGCTCTTCGTGCCGCCCCCGCCTGGCCACACCCCCTCGCTCCGCAGGGCACGCCTCCTCGGCTGTAGGCTGCTGCCCACGTGGGCCTCCCCGGAGCGGGCGGGCAGTGGGTGCAGCTCCCTGCAGGCTGGGTGTGCCTGAGGCCTGCGGTTTCCTGTGGGAGGAAGCAGCCCGCGGGCGCTCAGCTCGGCTCTTAGCCTTGGAGGCCCAGGAGGGGGAGATCCCGTTACCGCCCTCGGACTCCCTGATTCTCCCGCTTCCACAGGGTCCTAGCTTGAGGGACCTCCTCCTACGCACCCCCCCCCCCCCCGCTGCATTCCCAGGGTACCCAAATCTGGCGCTGATTCCACTAGGAAGTTGATTTAGAGTCCTAGCCTCCTGTTTGCTACTTCCCCTCATTCACATTTCCATCTCCCTAGCCCCTGGTTTCCAGACTCCTTCCAGGGCCAGGTCTGGTCCCCTTTGCCTACACTCCATGAAAAGCACATGCCCCTCCAGCCTCTAATTTTTCCCTCAGTGACCCAGACTTTCTAACTTCCTTGGGGTTCTGAATTCAGACCCCCCAGTCTCTGTCCCCAGGACCCTAATTCTGTACTCCGAACTCTAGCCTCGGGGCCCAGTGGACCCAAGAATTTTCCCCTTCCCCAAATCCTAGAGACCTTGAACTAGAGTCCCCCAATACTAAATCCATTCAGGGCCCCGGTGCTGGTATAACTAGCACATACTATGTACTGGACACTCTAAGAACTACCCTATGATGTATTTACTATTATTATCCTTATTTTACAGATAAACTGAGGCATAGAGAGGTTATTAGTAACTTGTCCAAAATCACAGCAAATGAGTATAGCAGCTTGGGTTTGAATCCAGTCCATGTGCCTCTGTAGACTGCTGTACTGGTACCCAATTTCTGGGTCTCCTGAGTTCCTGCCTAGTCACCGAACTGCCTATCCCTCACCCCTTCAGGGAGCTGAGATGACCAACCACTCTCCTGCCCCCTAGCTCTGGCCCCATCAAGATAATCCCATCGTCCAGTTTCCTTCCCCTGCAAGAACCTAGGATTTCAGTCCTCCAACTTCTCAATTCCATATCAGGACCCCAGACACCTGGTCCCCTGTCCCTCACTTTTTACCAGCACCCAAACCTTCCAAGAGACCCAGGTGTATAGTAATCACATTCCGCTCTGATTCAATAACTCAACAATAAGTAATAATAATAATAGTAATAATAATAGTGAACATTAAGTCCCTGGTACTGCACTTCTGTTTAAAACCCTCCAGTGGCTTCTCACTGCCTGTAGAATAAAATCCAAACTCCTCCTGTAGTCTTCAAGGGCCCTCTTTGATTTCCCTTCCTACCACTCCCTCCAGCTATTCCAGCCACACTGGTCCTTCTGTGTGCTCTCCAAACAACCTGAGCTTGTTCTTGCCTCCAGCCTCGCATTTCCTCTTCCTCCAGCACTGAAATGACTCCTGTCCTCAGGTCTCAGCCCAGATGTCACCTCCCCACAGAGCCCTTGTCTGATCACCTTGTTTAAAGTAGCTTCCTCCCACACATCTTTATCACCTCCACTCTATTTTATTTCCTGCAAAGCACTTAGCGACCCGTCTGAAATTTATCAACTTCATTTGTAGGTTTTCTCTTTATGGTCTGCCTGCCTCTACCAGGAAAGTAAGCTCCATGATAACAGCAGGCGTCTGTTTTCTTTATTATGACCTCCCGTTTCATAATAGATGTTCAATGTTTGATGAAGAAAGGAATGAACGTGTGGCTGCATTAGTGTAACGGTATTACCTTATTCATTTTTTTAAAGATTTTATTTATTCATATGACAGAGAGAGAGAGCACATAAGCAGGGGGAACAGCAGTGGGAGAGGGAGAAGCAGGCTCTCCGCTGAGCAGGGAGCCCGATATGGGGCTCGATCCCAGGACCCTGGGATCGTCTTTATTTATTTATTTATTTGAGAGCGAGAGATAGAGCAGAGCAGGAGGGAGGGGCAGTGAGAGAAGCAGACTCTCCACTGAGCAGGGAGCCCGACGCGGGGCTCGATCCCAGGACCCTGAGATCATGACGGGAGCCGAAGGCAGACGCTTAACCGGCTGAGCCACCCAGGCGCCCCACCTTATTCATTTAGAGTTAAGTATCTGAATTAGGACTACCACTATTAGTATATTGTCAGTATTATTAGTATTACTGTACCCATGTCACAGATGAGGAAAACGAGGCTGAGAGTTGAAATAACCAGTTGAGGCAGGAAATAATGGCACTGGCATCAACTTCCGCCCCCTGCCCTCTTCCAGAATTTCACGTGTTCCCATTTTCCATCCCCTGACCCCCACTGTGGGGCCATCTCCGCCCCCCCAACCCAGCTCTCAACCCACTCCACGCAGCAGGAATCTGGCCTGCTCCCCCAGACCCCCGTTCCGCGAAGGATCCAGTTCTAAGCCCCATCAGGGAAAGCAGACATCCGGCCCCGGGACAAGACCCAGTCTGGAGGCCTGAGAATCAGGCCTTCCCTCTCCTCCATGCTTGCCCCACCCTGACTTCCTGGGCTTCGAGGACTTCTCATCTCAACGCTGGGAGGGAGCCCCAGAAGACGCCTGTCTGGGGGCAGTGGGTGGAAGCCCAGAGAATGCCTAGTCCCTCCCTCTGGCACAGATCTCAGCTGGGTGCGGTGGGAGTGGGTATAAAAGGGTCAGTATATATTGAGAGGAGCAGAGAGAAAAGCCAGGAGAGAGAGAAGAGAGAGAAAGAAGGAGGTATAGGCAGTGAGGACTGGAGAGAGAGGGAAGAAAGGAGAGAGAAAGAGAGAGAGTTCCCGATTGGAGGGGAGAAGGAGGGAGAGAGCCAGAGGGGAGAGCGAGAGAGGGAGGGAGGAAGGCGGTGAGAGAGGCGGGGGCCTCGAGAGGGTGAAAGGAGGGAGGAGAAGGGCGGGGCGCGGAGGCCCCAGCAAGGGACGAGACTCCAACTCTTGACTTTTTCTGCCGCTCTCGGTAAGTTTCCAGTCCGTTATTCGGACCGGATTTCTTTATTTACTTGGGAGTGCAGCAGTTTGCGAAGGATACCCCCAGGCCTGGAGAGACGCCCCCACTCTCAGACCCCATGGAAATCACTGTAATTTAAGAAGTGATCTCTTAGCACTTGGGGTGGAGATTCGGGAAGGGGTGGGGCCCGGCAAGGATTCGGGGTTCTTAGCAGAGCCCTCCACTGGTAAACTTCCTTTAGTTTTTCCCCATGGCTGTCCACTCCCTCCTGAGGACGCTGAGATCAGGGCTTTGCCAGAGAACACCCCACATCTGGGGGACTACAGGCACCCCCTTTCTGGACACTGAAGCGTCCTGGGAGGCTGGCTCCTTCTTGTCAAGCCTCCCCCTGCCAACCCCAACCTCACACCCCCAGCATGGATCTCGCCCATTTTTCCCACAAGATGTCCAGCAGGCACCAGACTGGCAACAGGGTGGGGTGGGGACCTCGTGGGCAGAGCCAGAGACTGGGGTTTCCCTGGTTCTTGGAGGCAGGGGCATGGGATGAGTCACTGGATGACTCACTGGGTCCCCCTGCTCCCCACCCCAGGAGAGGAGGGGGGGTGAATCAAGGATGTCTGTCTCTGGGGGAAGCCCCCAGCTTCTGATGACTCTGGAGGGGTATCAGCTTGAATTTTCATATCCTGGCCCATATGTGCCCAGGACCAGGACTTTGAGGAGACGGGAGGCCACACTGCTAGTCCTCCTCCCTCCTGGACCCAAGAGTCCATCCCTGGCTTGCTCCAACCCCTGGAGAATTCAGGAGTCCGGGCCCCCAGCCTCCTCCCCGCTCAGACTCAGGAGTCACGGCCCCCACACTCTTCTCCATCACCCCCAGGAGTCTGGACTCAGCCCCCTTCTCCACCAGGATTGAAGCATCTCACCCACCCCTGTGCCAACCTCTCGAAACAACCACCTCCTGACACCCCCCCCCGCCCTGCCCCAGCCCAGGCTTCCACCGCAGCCATGTCTCTCCTCCTGCTGATGGTCTCTGCCCTTCACATCCTCATTCTCATCCTGCTTTTTGTGGCCACTTTGGACAAGGTAAGCCTACTCTGGCGGCAGCGGGGCATCTTGTCCTGTAGACTCCTGCCAGGCCCCTCTTCTAAAGTCACTCGGGCCCCACCCCTTTTCCCTAGCATCTACCCTTCTGAGTTCTGCCTCCCTCTACCCCGCCCTTTCCCCTGACTGCTCCCACCCCTTCTTACTAAATC